CCGAGGGCTGGTTAACCCTGCCCTGGGGGCTTCTGGGAGATGTAGTCTTTTTCCCACCCCCCCACCCCCACCCCCAGCACACATATACTTCACTATACCCTTGGTCTCTATACCTCATATCCTGTACCCCTATATCTGATGACTAGGAATTTCTTTGGGAAAATGGATTTGACTTGTGCACAGCTGGGGTCCTCCCTCCATCCCTGGGCCCTGCCCAGCATCTGCAACCTGTGGTGTAGAAGAGGAGGCATGTAACCTCTATCTGCCCACCACTCATATTATGCACTCTTGTCCCACCTGGCAGAAGTGTGAGACAGTTGTGCAGGTTGGTGCATTATGAGGTTTCTATTACTTTATCCCTGCCTGCCCCACTATCACAAGGGATGTACCCACTGCTCTCCCCTTAGGTTCCCTGGGAGGCTGGGCATTGAATGACGGGTTGGATAAACTTGGGGTACGGGACACACTTGGCCATGGTGCCTGATGTTGGGCATTCTGAGAGGCATTGCCTATCTTGGGACACTTGGAATGGTCAATTCTTAGGGAAATTTCTCTTTCCATCCTTTCTTGGGAAGTAGAAAGAGGAGGCATATTCTGGAGATCAAGAGCTCTCCTTGGGAGCATAGAAGGTGTCTATCTCTGTCTATCCAGCTTTCTTCCTTTGGGGTCTCTCTGATGCCTCCACCAGCCCCCTGCTTTTGTCTTGTCAGTCTAAGGCTGGTTTTGAGGTGGAGGATTTCAGATTGGTAGGGAAAGATATTGGGGGGGTGGGAGGAATTTGTGGCATAGACTTGGTGCCCTCAGATGGGAGCTCTGAGGTATTTCTTATCCTCTTACTTTTGCCTCCTCTCTGTCTCTGCGCTTCTTGCTTTACTTAGAAAAGCTCTCATTTACTTTTATCACAGACAGTTTATTCAGTTATTACTGCCAGATGGAAGTCAGAGATCCCTGGGGTGGCTGGGCCAGGGCTCCCTTTGCTTTCCCTCTAATGCAATCAGGAGACCCCTAGGAAGTGGCTTCCGGTTTCCTGGATAGAGGCTGTCTCTCATGTTGCTGATCAATGCCCCCCTAAATACACTTAACCAGTGTTTCTGAGGGTAATGCTGGTGCCCAGGATTCAGTGGCTTTTATCACCCTGTCTCTAGGGGAAGGGATGCTCTAAGGCTCTTTTCTCCTGGTACTAGGGCTAAGGTGTAGGAGTCTCTCTGTGTGGTAGGACTGAATGAATTTGCTGCCATGTAGTTGGTGTAGTGGTGATGATAAGGATAAGAGTAGGTAGGCAGGGGAAAAGTGGGGAAGGATTCCAGGAAGGAGGTATTCACTCTCATATGGGGGGGGGGTGTCCTACCTCTGGCCTCAGGTGTTCTGGTTGATTCAAGTGGGCAGCTTGGCTATCCTTGCCTGAGCTGGCCTCCACAACTTGAATGTGAGATTGCTCTTGGTTTGGGGTGGGGGAGAGCACAGGGAATTCTGGGGAAATAGTAGAGGAGGGAAAGGGATGCTCAGGGATCTGAAGTGCCTCCTGGACTTGGGGGGTTGTAAGACGATGCTGCAGCTGCTATCTGGTGATCTAAGGGACTAGGCATAAATGTCTGATAATGGTGAGACAAGGGTGGGAGGATAGGGTTGGGACTTCTAGGGTTTGTGATCTTGATGAAGGAATCTGGTGATAAGAAGGAAATCTAGGGTCAGAAATATGGTGACTAAGGAGAGGTCCAGGACCAGGGACCTGAGGATCTTGCTGTGGCTTCTTCTTGGTTCCGGTTCCTATTGACACCATGGGGACTCCAGGGCTAAGGAGAGCTGGATTGGAGTTCTAGTGTGGTTGGGATGGGAAATGGGGGTCCCCTTCTCCTGAAGCTTTAGGGCCTATGTCAGAACCGGGCATTATGCCCCTGGGTCTGGGCCTGGAGGGTGGTGGGGATGGCAGGAGCAAAGGCCAGGACGCCTGGCACCTGCTTTAGATTAAAGGAGACGCCACGTAAAGGGGGGCTGCCTGCCAGCAGGCGGAGTGGCGGGGATGGAGCTGCATGAAGCCTGTGAGAAGGAGGGAGGGAGGAAGAAGAAGGAGCAAGGCCACGGTTTGGGGAGACTGCATAATCCATAGGCACAGGGGCTCATGTGGGATAAAGGGGGGTGGGGTGGTTCAGGGACTGAAGAAGCCATAACCTCTTACTTCCCAGTTGGCCCTGGGGAGAGCAGAAGGGAATCTAGGAAGTCCCAGATATTAGAGGGCCTGGTTCCATCGAAGCATGGTGGGGAAGTTTGGAATAGATCGAGGGAGAAGCATGGAGCATTGGCAGAGGGAGAAGGGAGGGAACTGTGAAAAAGGTACCAGGATATTTGGAGGGATCAGTGGAGCCTGGGACACGCTAAGCACTTCCTTCTTGCTCTTAGGTGATAAAGAATCTTCTCCCAGCCTCCTGTCCCTGCTCATCCTGGGGCCCCCAAAGCAGCATGGGGTAGGGGTTGGTTTACTGTCTGGCAAAGTTCAGTGTGTGTGTGTGTGTGTGTGTGTGTGTGTGTGTGTGTGTGTGTGTGTATGGGGTTGGGCGCGCCCCTCCCCCACGCATATCTACTTTTGCCAACCCAAGTACCTCTGCTAGTACCAGCTGTAATGTGTATACTCTAGGTAGTAGGAGGCAGTGCACCAAAGGTGACCCAGAAGTCACTTCCCTCCTCTCTCTGCCACAAGCCCAGTACCTTGGCCTGACTGTTGACCCCATGGGGGTGGGGGGTGGAAGTGGGGGATGGCACTGTGGGAAAGTGGGAAGCCGTGGTAGCTGGGCTGGTTCGGGCCAGGCGCCCCAGGCAGAGGAGCCTCCGCCAGGCTCTGCTCTCCTTGGGGTGGGGCTGGGTTGTTTCTGAGACTGGCCCAACCTGTTGAACACTTGCCTTCTCTGGCCCTGGCACCTGTCTGCCCCCCCCACTCCCATCCCCCCCCCACACCCTCCATCCCCCTACCCACCACCCCTGACTGATGGCTGCTCATCTCCAGGTCAGAGAGGGCTGCTTCTTGGCTATGAGAAAAGTTACTTCAGAACTTGGGGGTGGGGGTGGTGATGGGTCATAAAAGAAGTGGGCCTGCCTTTGATCCAATAGGAGCTCACTTTGTTGAGCCCCCTTCTCTTGCTTGGCACCCTGCCTGCTGTCTCTTGGAGTTGGACCATTTTAGAAGACGAGGGACCAAGGGAAGAAGCTAAGGGGTTAGGGAGTAAGGAGTAAGGTGATGGAGATGAGGGTTCCTGAAGTGCTGAGCTGTCTGACTGGCCACCCTGGAGCTACTGGGTGCCAGGCCCTGCCTGGAGTAACAGCCTGGAATTTCCTTTCCCGAGTACCCGAAGCCCCGCCCCCAGCCTGGCCTGACTGACCTCCCCTCCCTTCCTCAGGCTGCCTTTCCTTGGAGGTTGGAGGGAGGGTGGGGGGAAGTTGGGACAGACTGGAGCTGGGGAGGGGGTGGGGAGAAAGAGGAGGCTCAGATTGTGGGAGGGGAACCTTTCCAAGGACTGAACAGCAGCTGCCCAAGATAGTCATATCCCCAAGGGGAGGGGAGGCCTGGGTCCTGGGTTCCTCAGATATCTTCTTCTTTCACATACTGGTGAAGCCTCTTTCCCTTCAATCATGTCCCCCACATGGGAGGGAGTGGGCCAGGATTCTCCCCCTACTGGGTCCAAGATTCCTGTGTAATCTGGGGTCATTCAGGGAAGGCCACAAAATGGGTGGTGACAGAAAGATAGCAGCATGGGGGGGAGTGCATACCTAGATGCCCACAAAATGAGAGGGCAACCTGAAATGCTTGGCAGCAACCAGCAGGACAAGGCAGAGGGACAGCACGTTTTATTCCCTTCTGTTTCTTCCCTCCTTCCTCTGAGTTGTGGCTCCTAGGGGCCCAACCTCCCCCCACTCTCACTTTTCCTGTCTCCAGGCCTCATTGCTACTTTTGATTTTTCCTCTCCCTGCTTGGCCCCTCCCTGCCTGGAACCTTGCCTACTGCCCCACCTACCCCAGGCTCAGCCTTTAACCTTGGCTTTCCTGGGGGCTGGCACCCTTTCTCCTAATGCCACCCCCTCAATCCATTCTCCTTCCAAGCGGCCTGGTGATGGGGATGGGGTTAGACTAGCCTCTCACTGCTCTTCACTATGTCCCCTGCCTTCCATCCTTCCCTCCCCAGCCCCCTTTCCCTAGCTGGGAATAGCCCTGAATCCAGGATTTCGAAACCAGGATTGTTTTGAAATCTGTGAATACTTCTCCTCCCCCCACCACCCCCCCATCTCCCACCCCACCCCCCAGTGGGGCTGCAGGAGTATTGTCCTCCAATCTGACTTCA